AGAAATTTTTTTTTTTCAAAAGCTTACGAAACCTGCCTAAGCTAGCAAGAAGTCTAGTTTAAACTCAGATCTGCTGGATTTCAATGCACACCCCTGTCAGAGAAAGGACAGTCCCAAGGCTACCTCACTGCTTTGGTTTTACCTACGATCAACTGGTACACCTGGGGTTCGTCTGGTTCCATAAACAAAGTTTGAAAACCAGGGCCCTCTACATTTTTTATCAATATTTCGTACCTACAATGAGGATATACTAAATAAGCAATACTTGATTAGTTTTTAATTCCACAAATATTTATGGTGTACATATTATATGTCAGGCACCATTTTTTAGAAAGTGAGTGGTGGCAAGTGAGCACGGTAGACAAGGTCCCGGCTGTCAGGGCACTTCCATTAGAGTAGGACATCAAGCACAAATAAATAAAAATAGAAAATGATAGTTGCTGTGCAGAAAAGTAAAATAAAGTCATACAATGACTTGGTTGCTACTTTACAAAGCAGAATCGGGAATGTAGCGTAGGAATCCTGGATTTAAAGTGTCTGGATTTGAATCCTAGCTTTGCCACCTATTTGCAGTATAGTTGTTAACTTACCCTCTGTGTACCTCAGAGTTCATGTCTATAAAGTGGGGATAGTGAGAATGCCGGCCTCACAAACTTTTTGTGAAGAATGGGAAAGTCTATTAAAAACACTCAGACAACTGCCAAGCCCTAGTGAGGTGGGATAATAAATGTAAGCCGCTGCTTTAAGATTGAAGGAGCAGCGGTGACACTGAGTTGATTGCTGGTCCAGAGTGCTAATGCAGGCGTTGTCATTGCCTTCATGCACACAACCAGCTAAATCTCAGAGGTGGAGTGCTCTTACTCTTTGGTTTAAAAAGCAAGCAACTATTTTAAATAATAGTACATATTAAATGGGAATACTTTATTTACATATTAACTTGAAATATAAATTGCTATTTGAAACAAGATTTAAACAATAAAATTGAGACACAAAACTATGCATCCACTCTGCCACTTTTAAGCTACTTCTCTAGAGGATTTTTGTGATTTTACTCTCTTCCTTCCCCTTCACAAAAGCCCAAAGCTGCCCATCTACCAGGCTCTGATAGCTCTGGTATTTTGAAGCTTCTAGGGGTCTTGAAAATAAGCCTCAGGAATTTTTTCCTTTCTGCTTTTAACATGTGTTCAGTGATTATTCTCACTATGAAAACCCTGGAAGACTTTCTTCCTCCCTTGAAACACCAAGCCTCTAATAGCGTACACTAACATCATAGTTTAAGGCGCTAATTTATGACCACATTCTTGTTGGCCAGATAAGAAGGGGGCCGCAGAAACTCTTCTTAATTAGGAGGTTGACCTGAAGGCACTGAACACTACTTCTTTCTATGACTGGCCCCAATTAGAGCCTCCTGGAATGTTCCCACGGGAGTAGGTTCTTACCGTTCTCTCTAGGCCTGGCTTTGTCCTGCTTGGTGGAGTCCCACTTTTAGAGCTCTTCCTTCCAGTGGCCCTAAACTGAAATGAAAGGCATCGTCCTTCCACCGTTTCTTCAGTTTGGGAACAGTTCTACTGGCAACTTTAAAACCAGCTTTTTCCATTTCCGCATTTTATACGTTTGAATCCTTTAAAGATAACCTTAACAAGGCAATATTCTGTAGGGAAAAGTTTCCCTCAAAAGGTGCAGATTTCATTTCCAAGTTCATCTTTTTCTTTTATTTAATAAAGGTTTTCATTGACTCTTTTCCTATCTTGAGGCATTCTTCCAACCATCTGCATATTCCCAGAAGATTTCTAGTGATATTAAAATAACTTCATCTAATATCTTTAGTAGTTTAATATTTAATGAGCACCTGCTGCATGCAAAGTATAGCGTCAAGAGCTATGAGGGATTCAACAAAACACAAACTTCACAAAATAAGGCTTAAAAATTTGCATTGTTCCAGACTTTTATTAATATGAAATTCTGTGTTTCTCGTGCCTTTGTGAATCTAATTTAATGACATTCAGTGAAATTATATTATAGTAGTAAATTAACAATAACTGTGTTATTTTATATGACGCTATACCAAAGGAAAGATTAGCAAATAATATATGGAAAACATTATAGAATGCCAAAATGGTGGAAGATTCTTTGGGCTGTTTAAGACATAAATCTATTTTGCTTTATCCATGTGGGTATATGTCTTTTTCTGTACTCAAAGAAGCTTATATCATCTAATTTTAGAGAGAGGACACAAATAGCTAATGAAAGGCAGTAAGGGAAACCTTTGATGTATGTGAGTTTGTTACATATAAATTACCCTCCACCCTTCCCCCTTTTGGACCCTTTGGTGTGTTATGTGTATTGCTGTTCAGTGTCACATAAAGACCAGGTAACGTACAAGTACCACTGGTCTTTGCCTTCTCTTCATTTTTTACTAATTTTCCATGCTTTCTCAAATGCTGAGAGTAAGGATAGAAGAAAACTATATGTTTTATATTAACATACTAAGAACTTAACATAATAATTATGCATTTCTGATTGGATACTAATACCCATCTATCTCATGCTTCAATTAAGCCATATCATTATTGGCAAATAAGCATGTTTGTTTACCTTATAGTTTTTCATTCAGCCCTTTTCCCATTTCCCCGTTCACATTCAGGTCATTGAAAATTTACATTCATTCAGTTCATTAATTTCACTGGAATTCTCCTTTCCTACACAGTTCACTGTGGTGTCTTATACATACATTGTTTATGGTTAGTATACATTTGCCTCTCAAAATGAACTGTCTAATTCCCACTCTTTCTACATGTGCCTGAGCCCCTCTTTCTGCTGACCCTGGAAGCGCTGTTGCAACCACTCTCCCTTGACAAAGTCCCACAGGTTGCCCCTTTACTCTCCATGGCTGCCCTTCTCTCTTCCCTCCCATCCTCACTGCTGGCTCTCTTTCTCCCCCCACACACATATAGTCCTCATCTCTACCCTCTCTAATCTCTCCTTTACTTGGTCACACAGTATCTTGTTATAAAACAAATTCGATTATGCTGAAACTCTTCTTTAACATTTCCAAACCATTATGACAAAATCCAAACACCCTACCCTTTATAAAACCTCCTTCATTTCCTAGTCCCACCAGCTCATCTCCCATCCGGATCTACTCCTCTGCCCACACTCACTGCTCACCACTTCTTAACAGTACTCCTTGGGGATGCCGTACTCTTCTTCTGGTCTTCATCTTAGTCGTGATCCATGTCCATCTCCAGTGACATTGCTTCTGACTTTCCCAAGTTCTCCACTCTCCTCTTGGCTTCCTTCTTCCACAGCTGTTACCTTGTGTTATAATCATCTGGTTAAATGCCTGCCAGGTAGACCAGACTATGATTTACTTCACGATAAGGCTATGTCTTACACAATTTTTGTTTTCTGAGTATCCATTACAATATTGTCTGGTACTCAAAACCTTTGCTAGGTGAATAAGTAAATGTTAGGGAAGTATGTAATGGACTTTAGAAAGAATTCTATGTATGTGGTTTAAGTAGAAGAAAAACTCAGATTCCTAAAAAAGCTAAGCTTCATTTATCAAAAAAATTCATTTATATGAATCTGTTAATGTTTTGTAATGCTGGAGAAAATGAACATTATTCCATTTTTCTTTTTCTTTTTTTTCTTTTTTTTTTAATTAAATGATAGCTGTGTACATTAATGTAATCATGGGGTACAGTGTGGTGTTTTCATATACAATTTGAAATATTTTCATCAACTGGTTAACATAGCCTTAAGAATCTTTCTAAAAGTAGAATACAAACGTCTTAACACAATACTATTCCATTTTTCTTATGGTTCAAGATAATCATAAGAATGGATAATGATTAGATACACACAACTCATACTAAGGTAAACACCCACTTATGCTATAGCAAATATGTTGATTTTAGTGGGAAAACCCATGAGGAGAAAGATTTTGTGTATACTTTTCTTAAAACGTTAAGGATACAGTTTATTTGAAGACCTCAGTATCTGGTAGGTTTAATATTTTCAATGTGTGTTCCCAGAGAGGACAACATGAGATTTGAATCTGAGGTGCTGCAACCATCAGTGTGGATCAGATTACACAAGTAACTTTGTAACCTCAATTTCATCTTCATAATTGAAAAAAGATGGTATACATAACGTTATAGCAGTATGTTTTGTTTTTCCTTTTTCAATTACTTTTGAAACAGCAACAAATAAAAACTTTTAGGCTCTTAAAAGTAGTTTTTATAGCAGATTTATTCCAAAGTAACATAAACCCTGTTAGACATTGTGCATCAAGCACAGGTTTGTTTTGAATCCAGCCACTTATGCAATACTTACACACAGGTGACGTGAATCATCTTTGCATCCAGTTTATTAAGAACCTACTGTTCTGGGGCATGCATTAAATATTTACCACTGGGCATCATATTGCAAGTCATCCCTTGATTGTGTTCAGTGGTAGGTATACAAATATTTTGTCAAGTCAAAAACTAAAATATAATTTTAATTTTAAATATAATTTCAAAACTTTATAAAAATCATGTATTATAATTGCCAGTGTAGTCAAAAAGAAAAGTAGAAGATATATGGTTCTTAACAAATCTCATAGTTCATTAATAATATTCAGGAAAGGTTTCTAAGCAATATAGACGTGTTGGTATAGCTTCATATATTTGTTTTCTGATTTTATGGTGAACTATGATTAATTTGTATATCCATTTCTCTTAATTAGTTCATGGCAGGATAAGATTGAAATTGGATAACATTTTAAGATATATATCATAAACAAATTTTCAAGTAAATTATTCAAGGAAAATGTCTTCTCTTTTGAAACTCTTAAATAAAATTAAGTGAAGAATAAAATTAAGTAACCAAATATTATTTTTATTAAGTAAAGAAATTATTTAATTTTATTTATAATTAATAAGTTATAAATTAGCAATTTTATTCAACTAATTTTTATAAAGTGGCTTAATATGCTACGTATTTATTCCTGGCAGGAACTGATTCCAGAGTTCTACTACCTACCAGAGATGTTTGTCAACAGTAATGGATATAATCTTGGGGTCAGAGAAGATGAAGTCGTGGTGAATGATGTTGATCTTCCCCCTTGGGCAAAAAAACCTGAAGACTTTGTGCGGATCAACAGGATGGTAAGAGCAGTCTTGCTTTGCTTGAGCGGTCATCAGGAAGATGACATATTCTATAGTTTGTTTTGTTTTGTTTTTAACCATTACAAATAGTCACTTAAATAAAGGCAACGTTAAAAATTTAAGAAAAAGAAAGAAAGCACTTTACTGTAGTCTTGTGACAGAGTTCCTCGTTATAGAGTAGATTGTCCTTTCACGAAGACTAATAAAGGGATGGTAATCCACCTACGTCTGCCCTCTCGGGAGAAGACAATCAGATGAGCATCTGCTGGTGAGATGCGCTCAAGTGCTTTAAAATAAATGCCCATTCCTTAGTTTTATCCACCAACTAAGTATGTACACTTCGTTTGATCATAAAATATTTAAAACCAGAAAAATTACATTTATAACATATGTATACTTAGGAAATTTAAGCTGTGAACCATACCTTATAATGTACTATTCTTGACTTCAAAAGAATACCCATGTCATAAACATTCTTGGTATAAAACGTCATTACTTTTGAATCTTTGTGAACACCCAGATGTCTTGGTGTTCAAATAAGAAATGTGTAAATAGAATGTTTGCATGTGGGAATTTTGCAGATTTTAATATATTTTTGTCCATCTTTAAGGAGATTTTAATCACAATATAGTTACATGAAAATGAACCCCTTTGTAAAACTACCTGTCTAGTGTACTAGTCTTGTTCAATTGAGGAATTACACCAAAAAAACCAGTAACTAAAAATATATTCTTAACCCAATTTCACTTACTTGCAAGTTTTTCCAGCTGTGTCATCAATATGTTTTGGTTTTCTACTTATTTATTTGAATCATAATTCAAATAAAGTTTCTATATTGTTGTACAGTTCACATTTCCTTACCCTTTTTTTGTAAGAGCTTTATTGAGATATAATTTACATATCATACAATTCTCTCATTTATAGTAGAAAAATCAATAGATTTTATTCTATTCACAGAGTTGTGCAACCACTACCACAATCAATTTTAGAGCATTTTAATCACCTCACAGAGAAATCCCACACCTTTCAGCATCTCCCTCTGTCTTCCCTGATTCTCGCGCCTCCCAGCTAGCTCTAGGCAACCACTCATCTACTTTCTCTATTAATAGATTTGCCTATTCTGCACATTTCGTATAAATAGAATCACACAACACATGGTTCTTCTTCCCTAGCCCCTGATTTTGTGTAACCTTTTTTTGGACTTCACTGTCAGTCTCATGCTCTCTTCTATTTTCTGTCTCTAAGAAACATTTACTTTTAATGTACTTTCTTTTAGAAAGTTGTTGCTGATATGATAGACATATATTTAAAAGCACCAGCTGGATAATCTTCAACCTGTTGTCCTTGCTGTTAAAAAATATCATGTGTCACATACATTTTATAGGCAATCTCTTCTCAATCTGTTAAATTGGCACTTTATCTTCAGATATGTAGAGTTATTTCACATCATCTCCTGGAACAATAGATTATTTTTCCAATTTATATTTTTAATATGAAGGGTATATACATAGCAATACATACTTCTAAAAATCTGCACTTTGTTTTAGAATTGATAGTCCATCATTATAGTATACTTATGTACTTGACTGTTGGCTGTAATAATCAGCGTGAGGATACCTACTACACATCAGACTCTCTCAGTCACATGATTCTGTGTGTCTCCGGAGAGCAGAGCTGTGCCCGGCACATAGTAGTTGGCCATTAAGTACGTCTGAGGGAGAGACCGAGTCACGGAGCAGGAGTAATCTCATTGCCGTCAGCATGTACTCCAGTAAGTTCAGACATCAAACTGAATGAATCCTTCACTCGGGCAAGCAAAGTATCCAGAAACTATTGTATCAGAGTTTTGGTTGCTCTTGCTATTGACCAGAGACTATCATGTGGATGCTGGTACGTGCTTCTTATGTGTCAAGCATTAGGTGAGGGCTTAATGTATTTTTTTAGTATTATAATTTATCCCCACTGTACAGATAAATGAGGGCCAGAAATGTTCCATCATTTACCCAAGAAAATTCAGTGATGCTAATAAATGGCACATCCCAGATTCACATACTCCCAAGTTACACCCTTTCCAGTATACCAACCACCTGGTCTGATTGTATCTTCTCTGTGAAATTCTTTGAGATTATTGAAGCTCTCCTGTTAGGTTCATGATAATCCATTGAGATCGTCTTTCCTTTTGTTAGCATTAGAGATGTGATTCATGCAGATCACCCAAAGGTAAAGACTAAAAGTTCACTAACTTTAAATATGCATTAAAGAGAAATGAAGTAGTTAACTTTATTCTTTACTGGACATTTCAAAATTTTTTAATGTGTTGATGTTTAGAGAAAATTAAACTGATTTTGGACCAGGAAATGTGCATGGCAGTTTTTCCGCTTCTGACTGTGCAGCATTGTAGGCTGGATGAGCAGGAGGCGACTCTAGTCTCCATGTCCCAGCAAGCCCGTGTTTCCAGCTCAGAGCATGCATTTCAGTGGCATCCCTTCCCAGATGTGTATAGGTACTTTAGGAAAGGGATTTGCATTCTTTCTAAAAGACTAAAAATTTGAGGAGAAGATTTTAGGGTGCAGGAAGGTTTTACTATGATTTATGTTTCAAAAAATTAAGGAAATGGCCTCTCATGTATACTATTCGACCTTGTCTTAAGTACCTAGTAGAAGTTTAAATTCACTAAATTGCATTGTGAAAGGCGTAAGGACATTTGGCTGTAACAATTTCAGAAGCAGTCATTTCTCCAAGTTCAGTTTCTTGGTGTATATGAATGTCTCCCTTTAGTTTTTGCAACAACGCCCTCAGAGAGAACAAAAAGTAATGCAGTATTTTAACTAATACTCACTTGTAACAAATTTGTTACTTCTCCAAATAGAGACAACTGTACAGAGTGCTGTTGGGAAATAGGAACAAACCACTCAGTGGTGGTTGGTGGAGAGAAGCTGCCCGCTCTGTTATTGAGTCGAAGTCATAGCAAGGATAGGTAGAAATACAGGTCCTTGTTGATTCCTTCACGGTCATGTGCACTGATGCTTCTGAATGCAAAACTAGAAAGCAGTGGACTAAGTGAAAAATGATTTATCCACATAGATAGAAATTGGTCCCCACATTGTTTACTCCTCTGTGCCCACAGCTCACTCTGTCTTCTTGGCTATTCTGGTCTGTTAATTGGTTTACTTGACTAAGAGACTTGGCAAAGCAGGGCTTTAAAGAGAAATTGGCATTCAACAAATGGAGCTGGGAAAGTTGTATATAAGCAAAAAGAGAGTAGGAGCTCAGTCCTTACTTCACACCATGTTTTAAAAAATTACCTGAATATGGGTAATAGATCTAAATGTTAACACTAAAACTAGAAAACTACTAGAAGAAAACATACAGGAGGAGATGTTTAACAAATATGTCTTTTGTTATAACAACAAAAGTACAACCCATAAAAGGAAACATTGATAAACTGGATTTTATTAAAACTAAGCTTCTTTGAACACTCTGTTAAGAAAATTTAAAGATAAGCCATATACTAGGAAAAAATATTTTCAAACACATTTAATAAAGGACTAGGATCTAAAATATGCAAAGAACATTCAAAAATCAACAATTAGAAAAAAAAATTTTTTTTGAGACAATGTGCGGCTTTGTCACTGATACTAGAGTATAGTGACATGATCCTGGCTTACTATAACCTTCAACTCCTTGTCTGAAGAAATCCCCCTGCCTCAGTCTCTTGAGTAGTTAAGACTATAGATGCTCACCTCAACACCTGACTA